TGTTATCCATTAACAGTGATACACTGAGAAATATTTAGCTGCAAAGCTATAATAATTTTTTTTTAAAAAAAAACTTAAATAATATTTCTGTTAGTTTGTGTTTCATAATATTTCTTTTGAATAAATCCAGTTTTACCCTTAAGACCAACTCCTTGTCCAAATTTTTTTAAAAAAAAGAGAAATATTTATTCTTAAATCTTAAATAATACTCGAGCATATTAGGACAATGAAAGAGGAAATAACAAATTTTATTGTATGACCTTTTTTTTTTTCTTCAGTTGACTTAAATTGCTATGGTATTTAATATTTACATATATAAAAATACCCTTTAAACTTCCTAATAACTATGATATAATTTCACATTTATCTTCACCTTCGTGCATTTTTAGCTCCCCTAATAATTTACATACGTACAATTTCACATTTATATTCACTTTCATGCATTATGTAAATTTCTAGAACTTGACCAACTGAATATATGGAAACTTTTGGTTATGGGCGTAGGATTGTTAACGAACCCTACGTTCGTGAATAAAACAAGTTGAAGTTCATAGATGTTTGACAAAAACTTGCTTGTTTGTTAATCGGTCGAGTAGAATTTGAACAAAAACTTCAATTTATTTGATAATCAAACAAAAACTAATTAGTCGCAAACGTTCCGTAATATTGAAAGGGGGTGTCTATATGTACACCCCCTCAAGTGTAAAAAAAGGGTGTACACATAGCACTTTTCTTTGTGTAATTTATTAAAAGGGGGTGTACATATAGCATTGCCCTTATAGTAAAATAAAATAAAATGATACTTGAATATATTAATGCACCCCCATACTTAAATTAATATCAATTTTATAGGTTTAAAGAACATAACAAGTTAGACATGTCCACGGGCCGAACCGGCCCTGAACCGGCCTCCTTGGGTCGCGGTTCAGTACCGATTCACGTTTTTGCTTTTTTAAAACCCGCCTGTTCGGGCGGTCCCGTACTGTCGGGATAAAAAAAAAGGACTTGGATACGGCCCGTAAAGCCACGGTGCCAGTTTTCGGAACCGGCAACCTACGGGCTAGTTGCGATTAGGCCGGTCCGTGGTCATGTCTAGCCACAATACTATTTTATTTCTTTTTATGGGCCGTACCGGCTCGTGACTCGCCGGGTTGGTGAAACGACGGTTTAGGGCCAGTTCATAGTTTATTCCAGAGCGGTCACGGGCCATGATATTGAGGCCCCCCAACCCGCGGGGCCGGGTCACGACCCACATTTGGCCACCTCTATATAAAGTTATAAGTAAAGCTTAGGTACTATGGTAAATACTAAATAGTAGTGATAAATGATAATACTAGTAGTACTTCTACAGCTAGCTAGGGTTTCATTGTACAAACCCATAGTATAGTGACAAGTGTACAACCACACATATTTCAAAATGGCTGACTTGTTGTTTGTTCGTTTGTGTACATTAATGTATATCATCATACACTGTAATTCTGCAACTATATAATAAAGCTGTTCTTTTCGTTTTCTATTATGGTTACAGAATTACCAAATTCTGCTTTCGAATTCAATCTCCTTTTACTAAAAAATGTTACCACAAATACACATCATGTCACGTGATAAGAATTTGGATATATCCACTTTCATCAAAATAGTTATCATCAAATTAACAATGTTCAACGTATAAATATAAATAAGAACATAAATTACTAGAAATATATAGTTAATAATTTTAACTTAAAAACCTTTTGCTACTAGAAGCAAATTTTTTGTAGATGTATTTCTTATTTTTTTTTTTTAATTTCTATTTTTGTTATCAGCATTAAAGATATTTTTTTTTTCTATTCAGTTAATTAATATGTCGGGTAGTAGAAATTAAATATATATAGATAATAGAATTGATAATATATTACTAAATACATATATATATATATATATATATATATAATCATATGACCAAATGATATTCTATCTTAACTTTAATTTTAATAATGTATAATGAATAGTTCATACTATTTATACTTTTTAATTCATTAATATAACCTTAATTTTAGGGCTCAATTTTTCTCATCTTGTTCATGATGAGTTCACATTAATTAGTTAGTTAATTAATCCTCACAAAGTTTATGTGACTTTCAATTAGCTGCCCTTTTTCATATGAAAGATGAAAGTTAGTTAATACTCACAAACTTTATAGTTTATAATTTTTCATTGTTTATAATTTTTCCTCAAAAAGATTTTGTTACTAAAAACATAATTTATTGTAGATGTAATAATAACAATAATAATAACACTTTTAAACAAATATAATGCATATATACACATGCATAATAGGCTTATTTTGTAGGTGGAGATAAACAGTCAAATAAGTCAAAGCTTAATTAAAAGTCTACGTTAACTTTCCATTCGCTTGGCATATATATTCAGAAATTCAAGATAAACGGATAATGATGGATCTGTGTGAATAAAGCTGTCTGTCTCAGGAATAACAGACAACTCTAGTTATACAATGGACACGTGTTCAAGTAGTATTGGTTTTTTGAGATGCCAATGTGTGTACTATGGTTAAACTAGGGTTTATCCTTGGCGTCTCCTGTGTGTTGCCAGATTTGAGACAGCTTTCACGTTACTTTTAACGGTTATATTATTGGGAAATGCTACCATCCCGTTACGGTATCATCCCGTCGGTTGTTTTAACCGTTGGATCATCGATCTTATCTAACTACACGTAGATCTAACAGTTAAAACAACCGACGGGATGGTACCGTAACGGGACTCCCATTATTATGTTGGTGTTTAATTGTATATGAGGGAAAGTTTGATTCACTTTTTCCTAATTCAAAGTTTCTAATATAATTTTAAAATTAAATTGTAATGGCATTTCAATTTTTTTATATAAAATTTGTTATACATATATCTCACTCACATATTTATAATTAACGATTATTATTTATATTTTCTCCCATCAAAATAAATTATTACTCTATATTTTCATATTTCATGCTAAAGAAATCATTAAATCTTCTAGTTATTTTTTTATTTTCATAATATTTCTTTTAAATAATTCCAGTTGTGCCCTTAGTACCAATTCCTTGTCCAAATAAAAAATAATAACTATTAATTCGTAACTAATACTCAAGCATGTTAGAGCAATGTAAAGAGGAAAAAAAAAAAAAGTGGAGGAAATTACAAATTTTATTGTATGATTTTTTTTTTTTTTCCTTTAGTTAACCGCTCTTAATAACTAAGATACAATTGCACATTTATCTTCACTTTCATGCATTATGTAAATTTCTAGAACTTAACCAACTCAATAAGCATGAAGACTTTTTGGCACGTACAGGCGCGGGATTGTTAACTAACTATATGTTCATGAATATAAAACAAGTTCAAGTTCATTCATATTCGACAATATTCGTTCATTTGTTAATCAATAAAAATTCAAACAAAATATTTAAACTCATCTAGTAATCGAACGAACACGAACTTATTCGATAAAACTGAATCCATTTTAACTCTAAATGCTCCAAGGTAAATATCAAGTGTTTAACTGTACAAACCTATAGTATAGGGACAAGTGTCCAACCACACAGTTCAAAATGGCTGGCTTCTTGTTTGTTTGTTTGTGTACAATTAATGTATATATCAATATATCATACATTGCTGAAACTACACATAAAGCTGTTTTTTCCTTTTCTATTATGGTTACAGAA